TCCTGTGTGTCCCTGGAGTGTTTCATCTTTTAGATCTAAAGCCAAAGTGTGATTTGAGGCAATGCAGGGAATCAAGGTCACATTTTCCCTTTTAAACGAAAATGGAGAAGAACTTGTATGGAGTGTGTAGGGTCATAAAGTTATGAGTTTTATGACTCATCTTAGCGTGATTAAGCATTCTGGGGAGTCTGAGCTTTAGTCTTAACAGATTAAGGACTTAATGAAGGATTTAACTTTCCAGACGGACCACGACGTGGCACAGGGATGGCCACGGCATGGTAATGTAGTTGTTATGAATCGAGAATAAGAAATGGAACCAGAGTATGTATTTGAATTAAGAACACACGAGTAAATATAATCTGGATGGCTCGATTAAACTTCTGAAAGATAAAAGAGAGTTTCTTAGAGTAAGAACAACGAAGGCTCAAAAGTTACTCTAACTCTAGCACCTATCCCTATTTATAGGAATGACAAAAGTTTACAAAAAATACACAAGGGCTAAAACAGTTACGCTTCGACATACAGATGTGCCCTTATGCAAAACATACAACACCGACTTCAACACTAACAAATAACTAAGGACACTTTCAAAATCTTCATTTTCATAGCGGCCATGCTAGCTGTATCAACCAACACAAAAACTTTGTCACAAGATGAATTTCCTTTAAGTTTGTCGAGTTGTAACACACATGTTAACACAAAATAATGTTTTATTTAAACTTATATCTAATTTAAATAACTTTCCATTGAGCCATCTATTCAAATAAGTAGAAAAAGACTATCGCCCCCTTAAAATTTGTGTATAAAATTTTGAATTTACTACGGTACTATTATTAGACGAATTACTCCTCGACTTCATTAATCAATATTAATTCTTGATCACAAACTAAAGGGCTTCTAGCCCAGCGGTACCAGGTGTTGTCATAATTTCTTGAAGTTGAGGGTTCAAGTCCAGTCGTATCATAGACATAGGTGGAACTAAGAAGTAGTTTAGGAGCAGATTATATTTGTCGTTCAAAAAATTATTGATCACAAAAGAGCTTTAAATCATTAGGTTATGTGTCCTGACGAGCCAATGAGGGCCAATAAATATCAAAAGCAGAATTAGGCTAAAAGAACAGCCCACGTTAAGGAACTTCAACACCGGTCACTGACTCTCAGATACCACATGTTTAATTTCTAGAAATCAGTTCATCCTAGTCACTTTTCTAATCAATTTAAATACAATGAATCCATTTCCGTGAGTGAAAGAGCGTACTTGGATTATCAATCTTCTTCACAAATGAAGCCATTGATTCCCTTATGATTTCCAAATTGATGGAAGATTGCACATAAATTTATAGGTGTTCTCAGGTTTTGTGTCTGTGAGGGGTAAAAAAGAAATATTGTGATTATGTTTAATTGTTTCATATAAAAGGAAATCAGTTTGCCCCCATAAATACAGTTACTTCCATCAAGTAACAGTTATATGATGTCATATTGGCATAGTTTCCGATCATAATTCGTAAATATATCAATATTAAAATAATTATTGCATAAATGGTCCTAAAGCCACATTTTAATGAAATATTCCAACAAAATTTTCTAAAAAGTTGATGAAGATGTCTTCCTTGTTTCCCAGTTTTTGACATTTTTTAAGATAAATAAAACAACATTAGGTTTTCAAAGTGTTTGGTTTAATTAGTTTTTTTGCAAATGAGTTTTTAATACACATAACTAAAACCAATGTTAGAACTTAGAAATATGATAATTTTTCTTGTAAACGACTATATGATGTAAAGAGTTATTACCACATACATTCATGCCCTAACAGAGCCGATTCAGACCTTGTTACTGGAGCAAAAAAAATTTGGGGAGCATTTTGTTGAGAGTTCCATGGAGTGAACAATCTCATTCACATAATCAGTGCCACCGTGTCAAAACAGATCCAATGGAGACGAGGGTAGATGGGTCAATTTGTATCATATGAAAGGAGATGAATGAAATAAAAACAGGGGTAAGGCGTTGGAATGAAAAAACGGTTTCTAAGGGAATCTCATTCCTCCTGTAATTGACCATTTCTTTCGACAGCAGCAACGAAACAACATTTTTCAATCAGAATGGAATCATCGATGTTATAGTCTTGTAGATAATGTGAGGAGTATATACCAGTTAATGTTGAACATAAGATCATTTATTAACACAAAGATATGTCCGTTGATCAATGTTGTAAAAAAAAATTTGTGTTTTGACGAATGGGATAGATATCTTTACTATATTATTAAGTATATTGGACAATTCTTGAATTTTAAGAGGTATAAAATATAAAACTTGATGTACAAATAAGTGAAGCATAGACAAACAAGTAATACTTACCAAAAATCGAATACAGTGAATTAAGAAAGTTATTATGGAATGTTGAAATCACCACTAATTCTTACCAAAATTGGATACAACGTGAGTGCTATTACTATAGCCTTGAATGCCTATTAACCAAAACTAATAAGCATGTGAATATCTTAATGTGAAGTAGGAATGTACCTTAAGATGGAAATGTATATTGGATGTTAATCTCATATTATTAGCCTTATAAATCTAAATGTAAATGGAAAGCAAGATTTTTGCCAAACAAAAAAAATTAAATATGTTGGCAAGATGTTTATCACATGGATAAAACTAATGTTACAAAACAGTTTTTTTGTTATTTTTTGTTTTAAAAAAAAAGACATTGATCTGCGATCTTTTTTTTCTTGAATTAATTAAAGAATCAGAAAAACAATAGCTTCCAAAAAAAAACTTTGGGAGGGCTAATCTTTTTGTTGATGCCAAAAATTAAGGTTTGTAATATTTTTTCGTATGTGTTGGGTTGCCCAGGAATTGGTAAATTGAATTTTACTGTGTATTAGCAAATATGGGGAGGGCTAATTATCCCAATGAATTGTTAATTACTAAATTAAAAATTAAGCCTCCAGTTAAGACGTCATTTATAAAAGTTGATAAATGTAACTATGTTAAAATTAGGAAGCATTAAGTTTTCATTGGTCAATATTCCTTGAAATAATATTAGTTAAGTTTTCATTGATCAATATTACTTGAAATAATATTGTTGATGGAAAGGGTACGTTTCAACACCTTGTACAATTGATTTTTTGTTTTCTCTAAGTTCTTTGATAAGGAATAACGATTAATCTTTTTGTCCAAAACATTATCGTTAAATGTATATTAGTACAAGAAATATTATATTTTTTCATTTTTCTATTTTATGATTATACATTTTTACTAACATCGTATTATTTTTCCCATTTCCCACCTCACTATTATATCTCTTAGGTTAGAAGGAGTAATGGTGAGGCTAGCATGATGTTACATAGAATTTTTGAAGCCATGCAACATTTGCCACAAAAATATGTTCGACTTGTAAAAGTTGGGGAGTGACAATGATGTCATTTAAATAAGTTTGATTTAAAAAAAAAAAAAACAAATTAGTGCCAACCGATCACAAACCACCGTTCCCTTGTCTCTCCTCTCTATTTTGGCTAGTCGGCTAGCAAGGCTTGCTTGGCGAGGTCCTTGTCAAGAGCCAAGGGTAGTGTTTGGCGTTCTTGGCAAGGCTTGGCGCTTACCACTCCTTTTTGTCCAATCTAATTGTAATAACCGCATATCTTTCTTTCTAAACTTTGTTCTTTTTCATTCAAACTTTCGGTTCATATTCATTAAGCCGATTTAAAATTACCATGTTGTAACTCTCTCATTCGTCTCTTTGTTCAGATGACACTTTCCAAAACATTATGTATTCTTTAAATTGTATGTCATCTTTTTGAAATAAAACAAATTTCCAAAAAAAGACTATGTTCAAATAAAATTATTTGTCGCTGCCAGAACGAAACAATTTGTCACCCCTTATTTGGGGTAACCGAGAACCTGATCAAATACCACTAATCGGTTCCAATTCGATTTTTAGCTTAAAAGGTTCATCCCTAACTTATATATCCATGCCATCATTGCATTGCCCGAGTACTTCCATATTGTGTAAAAAAATATTCACCAAACACCTACCCAAACTTTAAACGTTGAAACGAATATTCGTCCAAATAAAAATAAGAGTCGTCTGAAAATTATTTGCTTAAAACAAAATAAAATCTTTCTATCCTTGGAAATTAACGGATCTGAATCAGATTATATTATTTCATGGGCAATATTATCCATAAAAAATGAGCATGTCGATGAGATTAATGATTATTTGATCGACCGATTCCATGAAGAATACAGAATTTACTATAGTTTTGATGAAGTCATAAACGATATAAATAACTTCTATCATGTGTAATTCTTGAACACATTCACTGTTAATGGTTTACCCCTCATTACCTATGTTTAAAAGTTCAATGTCGATAATACTATTATGGCATCTTGACCCATGAAATGGATTGTGCAATAGCAATCGGTTGATATGTAAAACTTTTCAGTTTAATGTCATTAGTGCCGAAATAGTTGTTGGTCAACATGATGGAAAAAGGGTATTTTTGCCATGGATTTATCTATGTCCGTTTGAAGATGACATGTTCTGATTCAAGCTAAAGAGAATAATGTCCAATTCGATTATGTTTCACGATGAAAATCAATAAAGTTCAGGACAAACAATTCCAAATGTAGGTATATATCTTCGAGAATCTATTTCTCGCATGACCAACTTTATGTGGCATTGTCCAAAGGGATATCACATGTCAATACAAAAGTATTAGTGAAGTGGGACGAACAATTCAAAGGCAGTGAAGTCTATACATTAAATATTGTGTATAAAGAATTATTTGACGATTAATAATATACAATCAATCATGTGTTGTACACATTTGTAAACAATCATAACTCTTCATTTTTTATTCTAACTAATTTTGTATTTGCTAGATTGACTCTGACTGATTATTTAAATGTAGTAAACTATTTCCACAAAATAAATAATCGTCTCTAGAAACTAATTTTTGAAAGATATTAATCGTACCCATCGCTTGGCGCGGGTAAACGGCTAGTGTATACATAAAATATATCCAACCTATTATTGTATAAAATTATTGAACATGCATGTTTTGAAACAAACCTGAAAAAAGATTGCTTAGAATCCCTGAGTTGTAGAGACGAGGAAAGGTCAGGTGAAGTGCAAGTATGTTGAGCGACAAAGCTTCGCCTTGACTGCCCACTGGAAATATATTTATTTATTTTTGTGAAAAGTGAAAACATATTAGAAATAAGCCTGTGACAGTCGGAAATTTATTTATTTATATACATTATGAGAAAAGGGTTTTTGGGATGTAAAATTACGTTAGTGTCCATCCTCCAGTATGCCAGACTTCCTTTGGGACAAAGCTTTGAAGTAGAATAGCACATCTAATGAAAAGAAAGAGATTAAAGATCTGAAAATGATTGCAGAAAATCAAAACATTAACTAAAATAAATAAGAATGACATCTACCTTTGAAGCGGGCTCCTTCTCCACACAGAAAAAAAATAGCTTGATAGAGGTACATTACCCCACACAGATAAAGCGGGCGACGGATATCGATGTTTGCTTAGGAGGTATTCCCCGGTTGTTAACTGAAATGCAGTGAGATCTCCACCAATGATGTGATTCCATGACTTGTAATAATTTAAAGCATCTTCTTCTTCTTCTTTTTCTTCTTCTTTTCCATCATCATACACAAGACTCACCCCACACTCCTTTGTAACTGCATCACCCTGTGCAAACCTCACAATAACAGTAACGTGGTCACCAGCTTCCATTTCATTCATCCCAAACATCCAATGGCTTAACAACATCAAACACTTTCTACCCATATCGACTATTTCAATATAATGGTGGTATATCCAGGTGAGGTTCTTTGTTATATTTACTAATTTTGATCACTGGAACCTTACGGATACGATATTGATGATGGGGTGTCAGCACACAGCAGAAATTCAATCCTCTGAACCTGTTAAGAGATGATGGGATTGTAAATGATATTGATGGCCCCGCGCTTCTATCTGTAATCCAATTTGGCATCTCTTGGCCTCCATAAATTGTGCTGAATATTCCAAATTCATAATACATCTGCCAAATACAATCACCTTGATGTAAGTATATATACATACATATTCACACAAAGACAGATAGTTAACTAGACCAACCTGGATTTCAGATTCCTCTGGTTCTTCATAACTAACAGAAGTTGTCACATGCCCTCCTTTAAGGAAGTCTAGGTTAGCCCAGCCTAAGCAATGTAACACCTTTTCCTCAACACCTGCCATTGGTTGAATTTTAACAACGCCTTCAAATTCAAACGACGAAGGTATCTTCCATTTCACCAAGAACTTGAGTAGACACATTTCTGGATCAAATACAACTTTTCGTAGCAAACTCTTATAATCAGAAACATGATAGAGGTTCAAATATGTTACTGTATGTGGAGGATGCTCAACTGACGTCAGCATATTACAATTAAGCATACTAAGTGTCTCAAGCCTAGGAAGGCTTCTCACACAATTGGGCAAGGAAACTATAGGATTTCCATCCAAACGCAAAACCTTTAACAAGGATAGGGAACTGAAGTCCATGGGAAAGGACTCGGTGGACAAATTATTATTTGCAAGTGACAAGCGTACTAAAGATCTCGGTAAATATATCGAAAATAGCTCAGGATCACGTGGTATAGCCTTCAAAACGGTGGAGGAAGAGGTTATGGAGTTTATGCCAATGTTGTTCGCCTTGAGCATTTCCAATGAATCCATATCTGTAATCTTGATTTGAGATTCACCGAAATAACAACCACTTAGCAATAGTGTTCTAACGTTCTTTAACATCCCTAAGCTTCTTGGAAGTTTTTCAAGCTTGTTGCAGTAGCTCAGATCAATGTCGACAAGTTCAGGACATTGCTCAATTGATTCACAAACCTCAAGCAAACCAATGCAACCTTTAAGTATCAACCTCTCAAGTTTAGGGAGGTGGTCTAAGCCACCAAGACTACGAAGTTGTTCACAAAAACTTAAGTTAAGAATCTTCAACGATCCAAGCAACCTTTTGTCTTTTAAGCATGATCCAATCAATTGCTGAAAATGAAATAAGTTACAATAATAGTGAATTTTATCAACTCGACATAGAAGAGTAATACATAGAGATAAGTTACCTTTAGCCTCTTATGAAGTCGTTGTTGATAGCTATAAAAAATCCCAAATGACTCAATATTGCTGTATGACATGTCAAGAGCAACCAAATTCTCCATTGGTAAGTCTAAAGGTATAGACTTCAAAGGGAACCCATGCATACACAACCATCTTAATTCTTCTGGAAAATTCTTGTAAGAGCCGGTCATTTGCACATGATTAAGTTGTAGAAGCATTAGCCTATCCTTCTTACTCAATGCGTATGTTTCCAACTCAAGTGATCCATGTAACTTCTCTTTCTCAAGCATTCTCATGTCAAGTGTGAGGCCTAGAGCATTTTCCATACTCTAAGAAGAAAGGGATGCAAAATTATTTTAAAATGTTAAACATATATATAGACCTAAAAAATGCTTTAAACAAGCATGTTACCTTTTTTTGTTTCAACACTCTGAATGACTCATAACCCCATATTCGACTTCGTTCCCATGGCTTATAAAGTGATTCTTCACGTACCACAAATCTTCCCATCTCTTGAACCAACTGATGCATCCTTAATTCTTTATTCCATCCGATACTAAGAAGACCTCTATCCATAAGATTCATGATCCCGGATCTTGTCTCTATATCACATGCCTCTAATATTGTTACACTAACATCTCTATCCATTCCAACAAAGATACAAGCGATATGCTTAAACAACTCCTTATCATTTTCTGATGGCAAAGAGTCAAAACTCATTCTCAAGACTGTATTTATAGGGGAATGATTTTCTTTCTTTAGTCGGTCTATGTACCCCTCCCAATAAGTTACATCTCGATTATGTAGAGACCTACCTAAAATTTTAAGCGCCATTGGATGTCCTTCACAATACTTCACTAGCTTTCCTGACACCTCTTCATAACCTGCCTTGGGATTGTTGCAGATAAATGCATGATAACACAAAAGTTTTTGTGATTCAATCGTAGATAAGCCTTTAATCTTGTGCTCTGCATACTTAGGTTTAATGTTTGTTTTGAATGGTGAACTACTCTGTGTCAACCATGCGTCCTTTGTTGTTATTAGAATTTTGCTTCCTGGGTGAAAACCTTCCGTTCCAAATAACGCATCTAGCTGATCGATACTACCAATATCATCAAGAACTAGAAACACCTTTTTACGGGCTACTGCATTCTCTATCATTGAGGTGTACATAGAAACATCATGAACTTGAACTGAACTTAGTTTTGAAATGTCATTATAGAGTTGTTTTTGTACATCAAGCATCCCATTCGATTTCTCATTACATTTCTTACTAATATCTTCAACAAAGCTGCTTGTGTCAAATTCATGAGAATGTAACGCATAGACATATTTGGCTAAAGACGTCTTCCCGATCCCACCCATCCCCAAAATAGTGAGTATATTTGTCGTATGTGATGATGCATCTTTCAACCATGAAGTGACGACTTCAATGGAATCTTCCATCCCAATAAGTTGTGGTAGTGGAAACCTTGAGGATATGCGTAATCTACGGAAGATGTCTTTGACAATTTCATCAATAAACTCCACCTCTAACCTGGAAATTAATTTTAGTAACAACAAAACATATATAAAACAAAAAAACATATCATACTGGAGAAAATTAATATCTCCAATGATCCAAATCAAAATTACATCATATTAAGCTATTAAATAATTATGTTATTTCATATCATAACTATTATCTTTGTGTCACTTCTAACCATGTAAGAATCAAATGTGCAAGGTCATAATTATCATCTAGAATAAGATCAGAGCCATCTATGTAATACAAGATTTCATTAACGGACCACCAAATTTCATTGCTACAAAACCATCGAACTTAAATATCGGTGTAGTTTTGCATGAATCTAAACAAAATGTCAGTGAATAGCTAAAAGGAAACTTTAATACTTACAAATAAAAGCATTAATATATCATAATAAAAGAAGATATCGTTTCAAGGTAGAATGATATAAAAAATACTACATGAGTACATGCACTACAATTGTTCAAAATTTGGATTATTAATTAAAATTTAAAAGCTTATAAAATCATTAAAATGATTTATCTACATGAACTACTTTTGATAAATTAATAAATGCATAGCAAATGTGTTCGAATTAGCAGGATAGTTTAACCGGCCTATATAAATTAATTTGTGAGATCACATAATTGCAGAAATTAGATTCAATTCAAAACATATCTTTGTCCAAATTGTATGCATCAAAAAATATGCATATTTTAAAGAATATGAAGAGAAGTGTTGAAATGCATAAGGAGAGAATTATGTTTAATTTTCATGCGCTAATTAAACAAAATTAAAGAAGTATGTAAATATGGGTAAGAAGTGATTACCTGTCATTTGCATCCTTCCCTTTTAAATCAGCAACTGCGCTAAGCGCTTTATTCCAAAGCTCTAATTTTTTAGCCAATTTACTTTTATTTGCATCGGTCTCTGCCTCCATCCGCTGTCTATGTTTATCCATTGCCTCTCCAAAGCTACTTTGTTGGTTCCTGACATGGGTGGGCTCAACATGATAAAAAATCGGGAAAACAATGTGATTGGATGTCATATGTTGCTCAAGGATCAACACCAGTTCATCAAGGCACCATGTGGAAGCAGCATAGTTCCTGGACAATACGATAATAGAAGCCCTAGATGATTTAATAGCACTCTTCAATTCTGGTTTCAGATCTTCCCCGGTTTCAATATCTTCATCATCCAAGAAGGTAGTGATATTGGCATGAACAAGGGCATTATAAAGATGATTAGTGAAACCATGACGAGTGTCAACACCTCTGAAACTTAAAAATACGTCATATCTATGACCATGAGTTGATGAAGAAGATGAAGGTCCTTCACAAAGTTCAGAGAGAACAACCATTATGAGTTATGGGTTAATGACCCTTCACTCTTCCCACAAGTTTGTGTATCTTAATAAGTAAGAAAGTAAGTATTGTGTTCTGAAGCTTTTGAATCCCACGCTTTCCTCAATAGTGCCTCACCCTCAAGATCCCATACATAATGTCTCTACAAAAAATCCAAATTATTACTAACTTATATCACTTAAGTCTCCTCAAAACAATTTAAACCTCAACAATGATATATTCTACAAAATAAAAACTTTTAAGTGTTTAAATAACAATACATATGCACCTGTAACTTTTTCCATGTGAATTCGATAAGCTTCAGAAATAACCATCATATATTGAGATGGTAATTGTTTAAAAATTGGTTAATTACTTGGTTAATTAAATTGGTTAACCTGTTTTTACAGTTAAGTTCGGTGCAAGAAATTACCGAACCAATCTATTCAATTAAACTAAATCCCTAATACCATTCTAGAAACAACTAAAAGATCCATTATTACATCATATGAAAGGAATGGCAGAGCATATAGGCCATTTCCAAACTTTCACCGGATATAAACAAACAATTAAAAGATCCAAACATAAGAAAGAATAAGTTTCTTGACATAGTTGTTTATAGATCCCCGATATTAGCAAGAACAATCTTTTCAAATTTGAATTTATTTATCCATATAATATGAATCCAAACAACTACAAGTCACAAATTTTAATCACAAAGTCAACTTCTGACCTAAACAGATATCACAGTCAACTTTAAGTTGAATCATCTTTTTGAAAAGATGTGATGCCTTTGCTTTGTACTACTTTTAACCAAACCCTACTTTTAATTACAACATACACATGTGAAGACTATCAAAGAGATGAATCCAAACACACAAATGAGTAAGTGGCCAAAAGTAATTGAATCTGAAAGTAGATATTATCCCTGGTTCATGTAAAACAACTAAAAGCACAACTAAAACAAGGAGTGTTCAGCTAGGTTGAGTTTTCCCTTCTAGCTGTAACTATGAGCATGTCAATGGAGGCTCAATAATGTAACAAAAGTGACTAAGTGACAAAAGTGACCTAAGTGACAAGTGACATAGGCTTTACCTCCAGATGTTGTAGCTCAATTTACAAATAAATCACTTATCAATTTTGTAGCTCGGAACAAAAACCTAATTCAGCTTATTTGCAGTTAAACGGGGCATTACATGATTGATTTAGGATCTAGACTCTGCACTAGAAAATTCCTAATTAGATTATAGAATATAAAACCAGAGATTTCTTACAATCCAGCTTCAACAGATCAGCAAGTTTTGCACAAGAGGAACATCACCAGGAAATTTGCCATTATTACAACCAAAATTAAAGTTTCTTCATTATGAGTGTTTATCTTACCCTTCTGGGTTAAAAAGAATCATATGTAGAGAAGCAAGTTTGTGAATTAGAAGATAAAGAGGAATTAAGGAAGTACATGATGGACTCTGTACTATCCTAACCAAAATACGAAACTGAAATAATCGAAATTTCAATTTCAATCCCCTGTTGATGAACAAACAAAAGATTATGATGTGATTTATGATTAATAAGATAAAATTGTCTAACAACATGTGAAACTAACTGGTAAGAATGTGCCTTCGCAGTTACCTGCCTACACAACTACAGACGATCCAAGGGCGACCAGACCGAGAAGGGCAATGAGTGAAAACTACAAAGCAAACTTCCCGGAGTAGGCTGATAAACGGCGGGTCAACGAGGTAGAAAGGGATATATTTACTCTTTTAATTATTCTTTTACAAAAATTAATATCATATTTTCGATAGTAAAATGCAGAAATGACCTTATGGTTGCCAAAAAAAAAAAAAAAAAAAAAAAAAAAAAAAAAAAAAAAAAAATGTAGTTTCTGTCCTGCATATATTTTTATCCTAGGTCCATCCTTAAGTATGTGGTTGTTGTGGTTTTGATCTCCAGGCAATGTAATATTGTAATGTATTTCAATCTAAACACATTTAGATTATGACCCGCGAAAAATATAGGGGAACATATATACATATAAAGTCATAAAAAACCGACACAATAATTAAAATAAAAAAAAAAGATAAAATAAGAGAAACATACTTCGCGTTATTAATTATATTGAAAGTTTAAAAAATAAAAAGAATTGTCTGAATATCTATAATCGTTAAAGGATCTCTTTTGTAGATAACTTTTTTTTTTATTGGTTGGACGAACTTCCTCGTCACATATGAGTATCTTCAAGTTTTTTTTATCCGTCACACGAGAAACAACTACATATAACTGATGGATTAGGTTTCTAAACCAATAACTGATTTATTATAATCTTGAATTATTAACACAAAGTCTTTTTAGGTTGCCCTCAAACCTAGTAATTGAATAGGATGACTTTTAGAGAGAGAGAGAGAGAGAGTGACTGATTTATTGATTTATTATATGATTAATAAATAGCAATAAATGAATTTATTAATATGTTATGAAAATAATATATTAATTAGAAATAGTAATATTTAATTAATAATTAATTAGATTAATTTTAGATTAATTGTATTAATTAAAAGTGCAAGAGTTAAGGTGCAATTGTTCAATAGTTGAACAAGAAAGAGTCCATAACCTTCCTTGGAAGGAGGTGGACGAAATTAGGGTATTCCAGGGTATGTGGAATATTCCTTGCTGATAAAAAAGAAGTTAGATAATTACCAAATTGAATAAATATTCTTTTATTCATTTAGGGTTATTTAGGGTTTCCAAGTTGCACTATATAATGACCCCTAGCCTTCAATTTTGTAACGCCCGTAGATCCGGGCTAGTCAATTTAGAGGCAATAAGTGTCGAAAATGACTTTTCGACAAAAGATTATTTAGAAAAAATAATCTTAACCAAGTTGTAGAATATTTCTCAAGGTTTCCGTACATATAAAGAACGCCGAAATCCGAGTTATAACGAAGAAGTTATGACTCGTCGAAGTTTTACGGCAAAACCGGCACGGCACCGGGAAGCGTAAATAGTGAATTTACGATAGAGCGAGTTTTAGCCTTAGTGATCTAAACGAAAGTCGTAGAATACATTAAACCGAGAGCGTCCATAAAAAGAACGCCCAAATCTGACTTCGTATGAGGAAGTTATGATTTTTCGAAGTTTCGGCTTAGCAGTGTACAGCTTGAAATTCGAATATAAGATCGAGCGGTTTTTAGCCGACACAACCTAAACGAGAATCGAAGGTCTCGTTAATAGTAGCATAACGATAAAAAGACAGACGAAAACGGACGTTGGATGAAGAAGTTATGAATTTTTAACGGACCAATCTTGTCCCGGCCTGTTGAAAATATAACTTTTAAAATAAAGTCAAAATTAGCCAACGAAGTCTAAACGAAAGTTGTAGAGTACGTTCCCGCCTTCGCGTGGATATAAAGAACGTTGAAAACAGAGCTTGTACGCGAGAGTTACGAATTTTTAAAGTTTGCACTTGGATTTGCGAAACCTGATGCGAAAGTGCTGACGTAGCGCTTTCCCAACCGTCCGATGATGATCGCTGAAGTCACACCCGATGGAGACACATCGCCCTCGCATACGCCCCGCGTCCGAAGTCGGTACGCCCCGCGTACCCTCGCCCTTATCCGTTCTGATATTGCGAGCCAGCTGTGCGAAGCTGGCATCCCTATCCGAGACTACGCCCAGCGTAGCTGCTGGACGCGCAGCGTAGTCCGAGGCTGCTGAGGCTATAAATAGCATGCGAGCCATTCCGAGTTTTTCACACCTTTCTTCACTCTCTCTCTAAGATCTTTCTCTCTCTAGAGTTCCAAACCCCCCCTAAACCCTAGGTAAAACCCCTAGCACCCGAGGGAAGCCCCGAGGCTCCCGGAGTCCCGAGAAAAAAGGGTCTTTCGGTTTCGGAAACGCTGCTCCGAGCAAAGCCCGGTTTTTAATAAAACCTACTGTAAGTGAGCTACGCCTATGTAATTTTTAATATAGCTTTTAAATAATTATAGTAATGTTATTAGGTCCTTAAAATAATTATTTGGGCTATTATTATCAATTATATTGAGTGTTATTTAACGCTTATATAATAATAATAATAATAGCTAGACTATTAATTAGTCGCGGTTAACGTTAAAACTAAACCCTAGTGGTATTTATACTAGGTTTTGGTCGAGGAAAAATTGTTTTGAGATAACGAAGCGCTGTTCGAGTACCGAGTCACCACCTAATCAGGTGAGTGCATAGTTACTTTCATCTTACACATAGATATGAAGTATTTTATATAAATTACGTGCTATGCGTGCATATTATCTGAATACTTGCTGTCTATGCTGGATGAACGATTTTATACATGTTTTAAATGATTTAAACTGTATACGTATTTTATATATACAAGTATGTTGGGTATGACATGGGTAGATGAATGATGAGAGATAAAAGATGATGTGAGTAAACATTGGCAGCTATGGACTTAGTGCCTATTGGACAAACACTGGTAGCTATGGACTTAGTACATGTTAGGAATTGGTAGCTATGGACATAGTACCCATTAGATAAACATTGGTAGCTATGGATTTAGTACCCGATGAATAAACTATAGCAGCTATGGAATTAGTGCTTTACGAACGGGCATTGGCAGCTATGGATTTAGTGCCAGTCCTATAACCCTGGAAGCAAGGGACCTCGGAATAAACGAATGCATGATAGATTACTCTTAGGATAGATCCTTAAGAGTAAAGAAGATAATGGGAATGGGTAATTGGGTTGATTGTTTGATTGTTTAAACATAATAATTACATTATTGTGGGTTGAAAACCCTATGTATTCACCAGGTTTCCCAACCTGACCCACTCAGTTTATTTATGTCACAGGTGTTGTTATGATATCACATTACACTGAGAGATTAAAGAAATGTAGATCACTAGCGTAAATAAATGTAAGTTCTGTTTATGCTTATGTTTCTGTATTGACGATGACATCCCAAACGTTTTAAAATGAATAAAATAAGTTTCTTCGAAAATGTTTTGATAACGTATTTATCATGTTTTTCTGGGAACAAATTCCGCAACATTTTTATGAAAAGTACTCTGATTTTTATAAAGCATAAACAAAATCGATCTTTTCTGGCCGTGAAAATGGGGATGTCACAGTTGGTATCAGAGCATTAGTTTAAGCGAACTAGGAATATGGATTTATTTCTAGACTTAAACTTAGAATGCTAAGCAATGATCGTGAGGAGTGTGTCTGATAGATTTAGGTAATACACCTGAATAGACACAAGCACTAGCTTATTTTAGGAATGATGCCTAAATTGCTTTTACGTGCTAAATGATTTGTTATGCTTTATGCTATAGTTTGATCGGATCTATGGTATGTTGCCGACCGGATCTGGAAACCTTATGTGTTTAGGATTCTAAACGTACGACTACGATATTAGAACTAGCATGTAAACGTTTCGGGGTGATAAGGATGATTTAAAACGTCAATCCTAAATTAAGGTCTAGATTCACCTTATTCGGTGTATAGATCAAAATGGCAAGAACCCGCAGTGGAGCTGGGAATGCAAATGGGAATAGGAGTCAACCCCCAGTGATTCAGCAAATACTTGTCGTAGTAGAAGATGTACCCGAGCCAATCACCATGGCTAGAGTACAAGCCATGATTCGGACTATGTTAGCTGAACAAAGGGAAGAAATGAGGCGGATATCGAATAGGGACGAACCTACTATGCCCACTGAGCAACCTGAACTGATTCCCAAGCAATCGGAGGAAAGGAACTACAGCCGCCAAGTGAGTCAAGTGGGGACTCAAGGTGAACGAAGGGATGGCCCGGAGAGGAGAAACGAATAGGATGGGCGAATGTACAAGAATTTCTTAGGTGCGAAACCACCGAGTCTCTCAGGAAGCCCGATGCCGGTTGAGATTATGGATTGGATCTCTGAGATGGAGATGGTGTTTGAGAGCTGCATCTGTAGCGAGAAACAGAAGACTGTCTTCGCAGTAAGGCAGCTGAAAACTGGAGTCTTAAGCTGGTGGAAGCTATTGGCAGATACGATGCCACGAGGAGAAGCCTTAAGGATGTCATGGGAGGAGTTCTTGGAATAGTTGAAAATGCAGTACTGCTCAGAGATAGATCTGATAGACCTAAACAACGAGTTTCAGAACCTGAAGAAAGGGAAGATGAGTGTTGATGAGTATGCCACCGCATTCACCGAGAGGATGAAGCTATTTCCCTACTTGGTTCCTACTGAACTCTCCAAGATTGATAGGTTTGCTAACGGATTGCCCACTGACTTTGGCCCAATGGTCAAAATGGCAACTACCTTGAAAACAGCTGTTAGGGCAGCTAAGAACGTAGAGACCCAGATAAGAGAAAAGGATCTAGAAAGAGATAAGGCAGGAGAGAAGCGGAAGTTTGAAGGATCTTCAAGGTCCAACAAGGAGAACAAATTCTCAAAGCTTGGAGGAGGAGAAGGAGGTGAAACGAGATGGTGTGATAAATGCAAGAAGAAGCATTGTGGGAAGTGCAACGAAGAAGTGACTTGTTACAAGTGTGGAAGGACTGGTCACTATTCCAAGGATTGTACACATAATGATAAGGTATGCTACGGATGTGGAGGCAAGGGGCACCTGTCTAGAAATTGTCCGAAGAAAAACGAGGCAGCAAGGCCAAACACACCACCAAGGTCAAGGGCATTCCACATGATCCTCGACGAAGCGGAAAACAACGCGAGGAACCAAGGATGAGGAATTCATACCCGAAGATCAAGTCATGAAGTAACCAAGAGTATAGAATCATATCATGTAGCCTATTAGAGGCATAGTCTAGGGTGAACTTGAACACCTATGTAATAGTTTCGAGAAATAATAAAGCCTTCGTTTTGTTATCTGATGTGTTAAACTGTTATGTGATTTTCTTGTATGGTGACTTGGAAAACTGCGAGACAATACTTGGGACGAGTATGAGTAGGTGTGAAAGGTAGTAGATGCATATACTACCGGAAGCACAGGACTCACGCTTGGATCAGGGAAAGTCACAAGGTTACCAAGAAGCTAGTAATTGAATCCGTTTTATTCAAGCATGTCGTTACCATCGATTCGGTAATGACTAAGAAGATTGTTGTTATTCCGATCCTGGTGGTCATATCGAATTGAGTCCGACTACGGTGAGTATGATACGTGGTTCAGAGAACCAAGTCCGATGTAGCATCTGACTTAAGCTAGAAGCTTGAAGTGAAAGACAATCAAATCGATCAGTAGAGGTATCGCGATAGTTGCTTGTAGATAGGAATGCTACCTTTTAAGATGTGATTATATCCCATTAGAGCATGAAGGAAGGTATAGTCTGTTCTAGAATTTGACTCTAAGAGACCTAAGTCTAAGCGTTGCAACATATGATGATAGGTCATTAGAATATGACACATCGTTCCATTGTAATAATAAAAGAACTTATCTTAAGTTCGTATCCAGTGAGGATTAAGATTGTGACTTGAAGGTCATAATTTGGAGTCTAACGTGAGATAGGGAGCAAGTGCAAGGTTGAGCACCGCCTGCAGTCAACGAGTCCAAGAGTTAGATACTCGTTCGAAGAAACATCAAAGTTACGGTTATTACTTAGGATGAAGAGATAACGTATGGAGTCATCATGTGAGCCCCGTTTCGTTGATGATTCCAGGACGTAATCATCCTAAGGGGGAGATAATTGTAACGCCCGTAGATCCGGGCTAGTCAATTTAGAGGCAAAAAGTGTCGAAAATGACTTTTCGACAAAAGATTATTTAGAATAAATAATCTTAACCAAGTTGTAGAATATGTCTGAAGGTTCCCGTACATATAAAGAACGCCAAAATCCGAGTTATAACGAAGAAGTTATGACCTGTCGAAGTTTTACGGCAAAACCGGCACGGCACCGGGAAGCGTAAATAGTGAATTTACGATAGAGCGAGTTTTAACCTTAGTGATCTAAACGAAAGTTGTAGAATACGTTAAACCGAGAGCGTCCATAAAAAGAACGCCCAAATCTGACTTCGTATGAGGAAGTTATGATTTTTCGAAGTTTCGGCTTAGCAGTGTACAGCCTGAAATTCGAATATAAGATCGAGCGGTTTTTAGCCGACACAACCTAAACGAGAATTGAAGGTCTCGTTAATAGTAGCATAACGATAAAAAGACAGACGAAAACGGACGTCGGATGAAGAAGTTATGAATTTTTAACGAACCAATCCTGTCCCGGCCTGTTAAAAATATAACTTTTAAAATAAAGTCAAAATTAGCCAACGAAGTCTAAACGAAAGTTGTAGAGTACGTTCCCGCCTTCGCGTGGATATAAAGAACGTTGAAAACAGAGCTCGTACGCGAGAGTTACGAATTTTTAAAGTTTGCATTTGGATTTGCGAAACCTGATGCGAAAGTGCTGACGTGGCGCTTTCCCAACCGTCCGATGATGATCGCTGAAGTCACACCCGATGGAGACACGTCGCCCTCGCATACGCCCCGCGTCCGAAGTCGGTACGCCCCGCGTACCCTCGCCCTTATCCGTTCTGATATTGCGAGCCAGCTGTGCGAAGCTGGCATCCCTATCTGAGACTACGCCCAGCGTAGCTGCTGGACGCGCAGCGTAGTCCGAGGCTGCTGAGGCTATAAATAGCATGCGATCCATTCCGAGTTTTTCACACCT